ACTCGCAGATTGTATTCACGCAATTGCTTTGCCAACCAGCTTGGTCTGTAGATGTTGAATATGTTGGTAATGGTAAATATTAAATATATTGGTAAATTGAAAACTTACTGCATTGAATGAAGAGGAAACACTGAGACACAACAGTAAAGCCGATGCAAAATACAACAAGCCGGGCCATGTTTGATGTCGAAGTACAGAGCCAGTCTAGAAGAGATGGGAAATATAATAAGACTTTTATTTTTTCCATATTATTTCATATGTGTCATATTGCTGTCCTGTCATCATCATCTTCATCATCATCACAATCATCATCATCATCATCATCATCATCATCATTAATATTATTAAGAGTAGTAGTAGTAGTAGTAATAGTAGTATCATAAGTAGTAGTAGTATCATAGAAGTACTAGTTGTGTTGTTGTTGTATTACTATATTACTATTACAAATTTTAAAAAAAAGAGTAGAACATATATAAGGAGAATAGTGCAAAGAATATATATGCAATAAAAGCGAAGAATATGTACATATAAGAAGAATATATATGCAATAAAAACGTAGAATATGTACATATAAGAAGAATATTAGCAATGAGCACATAGTATATTAATACAATATCAAAAGTTGGGCTTCCTTCTTGAAATTGAAAACAAGTCCGAAAAAGAACACGTCATATTTTTCTAGTAAGTGCAAGCCAACTTTTTGTTTAAGTAAAAGAGATTTTTTTAGTGAGTGCAAGCCAACTTTTTGTTTACAGCCATTGAAACTTCTTCCATGAAGCCTAATAAAGCTATTATCCTTTAGGCGGTCTGATGAATTTCAAGAAGTCAGAATGATTATGGAGAGCTGAGGTATTTTGTCCTGTTTATCGTGACTGTTCAAGTTCAAGTTCATTTATTCAAAACCACACAAAACATGATATAATCTTTTACATGAAAAAGAGACTGGTAATAGTACATCATTAAGTGAATGGTTTTAGGACCCCTGTAGAAGCTAAGCTTGTGAGCGGGGCCCTATAGTCAACAAAATACATACATTAACGATATGGCAAGGTGATTAAAAAGAATGTAATTTTTATACAAGGAATGGAAACAAACTAAGCTACAGAATATAGAACACAAAAAAATATTCACACACACGCGCGTACCCTCACACACACACACACACACAGTCCTTAGTGGTCTATAAGCATTTGAGAATGAGAAATTATTAAGATACAAAGTAGAATTATGTCAGTTTTCCAAGTAGGTACGTTTTAGATAACCTTCTAAACCTAGAAAGAGTTGTACTATATTTTATACCATCAGGCAAACTGTTCCATTCTTTGATGCAAGAGATATGGAAAGAGGTCAGAGTGATATTTGTTCTTGCAAAAGGCTGATGAATAAGACCCCTTTGACGTGTATTATAATTATGAATTTGTGAGTTTTTACGGAATAAATCTTTTAACATACATTCATGAGGCATAAACTGAAGTTTATACATAAACAATACGCAATTGATTGACACAAGTCCACTTAGTGGTAACATTCTTAACCGAAGGAACAATGGAGAACTTGGATGTCTATAATTAGAATTAGTAATAAGCCTTATTGCCTTCTTCTGCAATACTCTTAACTTATCAAGATATGACTTAAAAGTGTTCCCCAAGCAACATTACAATATGTCAAATAAGGAAGAATAATACTATTATATAATGTTATCAGCACTCTTTCAGGTAAAATAAATTTCAATCTAAAAATGACACCTACACTTCGAGACAACTTAGTGCATACAACATCTAAATGATTCTTCCAAGATAAATGTTCATCCATAGTTAACCCTAAGAACTGAACATTTTCACTAAGCGCAACATCATGGCCTCCAACATTAAGAAAAGAAATACCATCTGGAAGCTTTTTACCCTTTGAGCGAAAATAACACATTTGGTCTTTTGAACATTCAATAATAACTTATTACAACAATACCATGCATACAGTTTCTGAATCTCTTGATTTGCAATTAGTAATAAATCTTCAGCCTTCTTATCAACCAGCAGCAAGCTGGTATCATCAGCAAACAGGGAGTATGAGAATAATGTTGACGAGTGTATTATATCATTTATATAAATTAAAAACAACAGGGGACCAAGAACAGAACCCTGAGGTACACCATATTTAATAGAAGCAAGTTGGGAACTACTACCATCTACCACAACAAATTGAGATCTGTCAAACAAATAGCTTTGGAACCAAGACAATGCTACACCACGTATTCCATAATGCTCTAGTTTCCTGAGGAGGATACCATGGTCAATGGTATCAAACGCCTTAGATAGATCTAAGAACATCCCCAGACAATACTTGTCTCCATCAATAGCTTTTATGATATTACTTAATAAATTAAACACACCCATTTGTGTGGAGAAGTGCTTACGAAAACCGCACTGCTGAGGAATCAAGATATTCTTTTTAGATAAAAACTCATTTAAGCGTTTATAAATTATTTTCTCAAGAATTTTAGAAAAGATTGGTAACAGTGCTATTGGCCTATAATTAATAACATTTTTACGGTCAGATTTTTTATATACTGGTACCACTTTAGCTACCTTGAGTTTATCTGGAACAACTCCCTGAGATAAAGACATATTAAAGATTTTACATAAGGGATCAATAAAAAGGTGAATGCACTCCTTTATAATTCTAGGTGAAATATCATCAGAACCACTAGATTTAGATGGTTTCAAAGATGACACAATATCAATGATCTCAGAGTTTGAAGTTGGTTTTAGAAACATAGATGCATTATCTTCACACTGTTTCATATAATCACGAAAAGATTGTGGTACTTGAGGGATATCTGTACTGATTTTCATGGGTAGTCCAATGAAATATTTATTAAAACTTTCAGCCTTATCCTTGGCAGATGATAGGAGTACTCCATTAAAATCCATCTCTTGAGGAAGTGAATGCCTATTTGACCGACCTAACAATTCATTGATATGAGACCAAGTTTTTCTTATATCACCTTTAACACTGTGACTGTGACTGTGCCATGAACCAGTGATAGCCTGGTGGTAGAGTCGCTGCCCGGCAAGCAATAGATCGATGGCAGGTTCAAATCCTGCTTGCTCCAAGATTTTATCGAAATTGAAAACAATAAGTGCTAAAACATAATATCGGTGCAATGTATAGACCTCCAAACAACCACATTGAATCATGTTATGACAGTTTAGAAACATCCTTAAATAAACTTAAGAAAATAAGGAAGTTCACTTAATAGGCGATTTTAATGTAGACATATCGCCTTCCATACAAGACAGCAGTGTTTCAACTCTTCTTTAATAATTCATTCTCTTTCCATGCAGTAGATCCACCAGTCAATAAAACAACTAGAATAAACGCATCTTTTGCTATTTTAACCGACAATATATTCACAACTGCTTTAAACAAAGGGTTTAACGATGGCTATTTTTTATTCTGGAATATCAGATCATATAACAATAATCACAAATCATTAAAAAACGGGTTTTAAAAACATGGATATTGAAAATATAATGCATCGAAACGTAAATTCTGTCAATATGCATAAACACTTAAAGAAAAGCGTCATAAATAGTGACATCTATCGGGAATAGATTTTTTTTTTTACAAACTATCTATTCGCATTCTATTGGCTCCAAACCTTGTTTATTATTTTACAATATAAAATCAACATGGAATATGATAAATGAATTTATTGGGAAGAAAACAAATCACTCAAACACCACAAAATCTTATAAAAGTGGCCTTGAAATCCTTTTTACTCCAATCCCAAAAATCATTTTTGTATAAAGGAACGATTTAGTTTTATAAAGGATTACCAAGCTTAGCTTATGTGGCAATCCTTATTGCAATTTAAATATTTACCGTGGATGATGTTATAATTTCATAATCATGATGTATGTTGTAATTTGTTTGAAACATCGGAAAAAGGCCATTAAGATAAATAGATAAATAAAATAAAATAAAATAAAAAATAACGGTGATAAATCACAGAAAAACAAAACAATATATAATATTGGTAATAATAATAATAATAATAATAATAATGTCAATTTATAAAGCGCACATATCCATTCTAAAAGACTGCTCAAGGCGCTCTTGTACAACATCAAAATAATTATACAATAATACAAACTACGACATAGACATTATTTATTTTAAAGGCGTTATTGTAAACACAAAATATGATACAGCGTATGCCCTTAACGTGTTAGCGACAAATTTAAATCTTTATTTGAATATTAAATTATATTACAGCAATGTGATATTGGTTGACATCACTGTGCAAAGAAGAATGACATTTTCTACAAATCACAATCAGTTTTTATAGTTTTGAAATACTCTCATAACCAATGTTTATAATAACAACAATGTACATTTTTAATCTCAATGATTAGATATTATAATTAAAGATAAAGTTGAGCTCTGGTCATGGGAAGGGCGTTGTGAAAGAAACTATCTGGAAGCAATAGGGAAATAGGCTGATTATTTCCTACATATTACAATTAATGTTATGAAGTTTTAGAGGCATAATCTCAAGCACCATATGTATGATGATGACACGCAGATATACTTTTCGTGTTCTCCCACACAAGGGTAAGTTGATGCCTGGATTGCTCGTGTTGAAGCCTGTTTAAGTGACATTAGAATTGGATGAAGGAGAATTACTTGAAGCTCAATGACGACAAATCTCAGTTTGTTATGCTGGGTTCCAAGCAGCAACTCGCCAAGTCGGTAACCCCCAATCTGAATATTGGTTCGTCATCAATTACTCCAGTGAAGAAAGTTCGAAATCCTGGAGTTATTTTTGACTCCAATATGACCATGGAGTCGCAAGTATCATCAAGTGTTAAACTTGCGATCCACAGTCTCCGCAATCTTCGTGCTATTCGCAAGTATTTCACCACAAAGGCGGCTGAGCAGCTTGTGCATGCATTTGTTACATCGATTGTTGTAACTCTTTACTCTATGGCATCCCTATGTCTCAAGTTATGAGGCTCCAGCTTGTTCAGAATGCTGCTCCCCGTCTAGTGACATATACACGCAAGTTCGCCCACATCACTCCAGTCCTTAAATCCCTGCATTGGCTTCCTGTTGAACATCGTCTCACCTACAAAATCCTTCTGATCACATACCGTGCCTTGAAGTTCTCCTCGCCACAGTACATCTCTTCTCTACTCAACTTTCGCAAGCCTGGTCGTTTTGGTCTGCGTTCTGCCAATACATCAACTCTGATCATCCCTAAGACCAGACGATCATGGGGAGATCGAGTATTTGCCTCAGCAGCTCCCCGATTGTGGAACAGTCTCCCTAACACACTTAAGGATTGTAAATCAGTAGATAGTTTCAAGGCCAGCCTGAAAACTTATCTCATGGCCAACTTTGTCTTTAACTAATATCATATTCTTCTTTTTAATAACCATGTGTAATGTAATGTAAGCAAAATTGTATCTAAGTATATTATGTAGCTCATTGTAAGCGCCTTGAGCACCCTCTCGGTGGATATGTTGTGCGTTATAAATGTCTGTATTATTAATGGTAAAAATGAAGAAAAAAATTGACTCAGTCTTCCTGACGATCATACACACTGCATACTAAAAGGGTCAGTTTTGCACCAACATATTTGGTGCAAACGTTTCAGCTATCGTTTGTAATATTCCAATCATGAGAGCATTTTAAAGGCAACTCTTTTCAGGAGACATTTCTCCTTTGATATTTTTCCAAACTAACCTGAGGAGAATGAGTTATGAAATTATTTTTTCACCTTGACCAGAGCTCAACTTTCCCTTTAAGCTTACCTTGATTCAAAGATTTGAAAACTGATTCAGCCAGATCTACGAAGAGGCCTTACCAACTGATTCCGATCTAGAAAGCAGCATGAAACCCAAATGAAGCAGGTTCCACACCTGTACATACAGGTCTTGCAGAGAGAAGCGCATCGAATGCTTGAAAACAAAAAGGTTCCGCTCTGTCAAAGATGACTCAGTATTAAAGTGCGGATTCATAGAAAATCACAAATATGGCAAATAGCGTATTACTAGAAACTGGTAAGCTAACAGATGGCCATCGTGCAAGTTTTAGTTCAACTACATATCGGGTGATTTATAAAAATACAAATAAAACAACCTCTATAGCATCTGGGATATGCGAGAGATTCGCCGGAAAAATAACGATGTTTTAATGCCGTCACAATATGAACCAACCCTGCCCAAGCAGACGACACCCCATAAAGAATGAACATAATTGCAATGCTTTTATTTCTCAAATTATAATGAGTTTAGTGTATATGAATGTGATGGAATTTTACATCATTCAAAAAGGGATATGACCCCCATTCTGAAAACTAAATTCTTTTGTTTGTAAATACACAGGATAGGGGGTAATGAACAATCAAAGAAACCACACTTTCAAATTAAAAAACCTCCGGAATGATAGCATGGACGTCATTTGTTCCCTCTTGAAACGCCGAACATGCCGCGGTGTATGCAGCTGAAAATACAATGGCGTCCTATTTTGTTTACAAGCGACAGATTCCTTCTCCTTCTTTTTTCCTTGCATTTTTCACCCAAATAATACCATGCACGGGGTTTAGAGTGAGGCAATAGATTAAACATTTCGCCTGAGGGTATTGAAGTAAGAGAAACAACTGAAGAAAAGATGACAAAACAGGCAGTGAAATTGTGTGAGATGTCATGGGACATCGTCTGCTTGTGCACATCATGTTCAACATGTGACGTCATATCTCAGCAGCGACCGGAGAGCTTTTCAGGTGCTATGTCGGGGCTGTATCTAAGCGTTTTGTAATTGTTAATAATCATTACTTTGAATGTTGTCTAAGCATTGGCTTTTGATAACCTTGGCCAATCAAAGTGTCACCTTTGCAATAATGACATTAAAGTTAGTTTTTTAAATCAATGAATCTTCTCTTTAAGGGGGTTGCTAATTTCAAGCAAAAAAGGAAATTTTCCATTCAACACAAGTTCGGTATTTAATATTTGTATACCAATAAATTGTTAGAACACACCCACCATAGAATTGATCCTATCCTCTCAACATCCAAACGTTTTAAAAACAAAACAAAGAAAGGAATACAGAACGCTAAAATTAGAGAAATGTGCTCTGTGTTTTTTTCTTCTTCAGAGTTGGTGTTGATATAACACCATGGCGCCAATGGCGCCAACAGGGTGAATTTTGGAATTAACTGGCGCAAACTGGCGCAACATTTTGGAGCAAGCCGGGTGGCATTTGGCGCACACCATATGGCACCCAGTTTATTCCACTTGGCGACACATGCCGAGCGGACATTAATTCGGCGCCACAGCGAGCCACTACGCGCCAATCACATAATCTTTGGCGCGAACTGGCACCAACTGGCGCTGGCCCAGTGGACTCCTAGCATAATATTCGTGGCATAGCTTTTTCTATACTAACTCTCTAGGGCGTGGGCGGCGCCGAGGGGTTATAGCATGATGTAACGTCCCCTTGAGCCTAACAGACAAAATAAGAAGAAAGTACGGAAGGGGAGGAAAAGGAACTCGATAAGAAGACGCTGCGACTGCCGATTGGTCAATTTCCATTCAATCATCCAGGTCAGACCACTGCCGATTCCCTTCCCCCCCCCCCTCCCATCGATGTTTGGACCCGTGTTAAACCACTGAGTAGAAACCTCACAAAGCAGCCAATGCTTGTATATCTTATAACATTTTCACACTCATAATGCTGAATAGACAACAATGTACTCAGGTGTTTCCTAATAGCCAAAATCCCCTAAAACACTTTGCGCACTGGGTTTTTTCCCTTTCATTGTTTACGCCAAGTTTTTTGGTAGTTTTAATTTCCATTTCATTTTTTGTATACGCTTTGAAGTATGTTTCATACAATTCAAAGGGATTTTGTTTTCAGTTTGTACTCGAAGTGTCTAATAAAAAATAATTTTGAAATCAAATAGCACCGATAGGAATTGTTAAATGTGTCAAATCATCGTAAAGAATGATGAGTACGGGTTTTATAAAAACAAAATCTCTAACAATATTTTCGTTTGTTAACACTCGGGTATTTTTCCTTTATGAGTTAGAATGGAACAAAAAATGATTTCAAATCACGGGAAATTCCCTTCGGATTACCTGAAATTGTTATGAATTCGTAAGGAAAAAACAGCCAAGGTTGAATAGATAAGTGGCAAGATGCGAATCACGCTGCCATGCAAGAAAGACTACATGACAATTGATAAAAGATTGTACTCCAAATGAATACTGAAGCTTTATACAGCGCTCAACTCCACCAGACACATGCCGCAATATGATCAAGGTGTTCAAGGTGCTTTAATACTACCCATGCTTAAAAGCTAGTTGAGTAATTTTTGGTGCACACAGCAATCACGAAATTCCTTTTTATCAGTTATCCATTAAATTCCGGGGTTTTTCATGACATTATATTAAAAAAAAAGACCTAGGCCTATGTGTCTTTTAAAGGTCCACTGCACTACTTGTAGCTACTTGCCCCCTCTCTATATTAAACAATGCCTAATCGGTGACCATTGGTCCCCCATGGTCCTCTTTTTCCTACGTTAACTAAAAACTGCTCATTTTATGTATGTTATGACCAAGAAAAAGGGGGCATAGTCCCCCTACTTTGACAAGTACCACAAAAGAGCCCCTTTTACTTTGACAAGTGCCCCTTTTCACCTCTTATAAATGCCCCTGTTATTTTGTCATGTGCCTCTTTTCTTTGGACAAGTTCTTATTTTTTTGTGTAATATCTGTACATTTTTAATCTTTAGTAAATGCCCCTTCACTTCTGATAATTTTCCCTATTAAAGTCTGAAAGATGCCCCTTTTATATTGCTCCTTTTTCTTTTCCTTTTCACACGTGCCACTTTTCATTTTTATAAGTGCCCCTTTTTAGGTGCGATGAGTGCCCCTTTTCACCTCTGATAATTTCCCTTTCTTTTTTTACAATGATACGTGTCCTTTTCCCTTTCAAATAAGGGCACTTTCACCTTTTTTTGAATGCCCCTTTCCACCTCTGATAAATGCCCCTATCAAAATTTGATTGGTGCCCCTTTTTCCGTCGACAAATGCCCATGTCCCACTCTCATAAGTGCCTGTTTCATCTCCGGTGAGTGCTCCTTTTTATGTACAGGTGCAAGAAGAGCCCGATTTTTACCTTTGATAATTACCCTTTATACTTTGACACGTGCCCTTTTCTTTTTCTGATAAGTGTCTTTATCCCTTTTGGTGTGTGTCCCCTTTTCATTTCATCATCAAACATGCTCCTTATTTGAGGCGACTAATTAGAGCAATTTCCCCCAAAGATCGCTCACTTAGCTCACTCGCATTTATAGTTAATATAAATATGTAACTTATCAAAGGTCTTTTTTAGTTATCCATGATGAGAATGTGCTTATAACCCCATCAGGATTGGGGTGTTCCTCTTTATAAGGTATAAATTTTCGCACTGCGAAGTCATCATCATCATCAACTTCAGGTGGCGCTGTAAAGCGCTGCTGTGGTCTTCACGAGAGCACGCCATGCAACTCTCTTACCTGCCATTGTGTTGCACCTTTCATTCCTTGTCCAGACACTTTCTTGATATTGTAACGAATTTAAATATGTCTGTATCGTGTGCATAGTTCATTACTATTTCGCTATATATTGTAGCTTGCTGTGCAAGTCAAACTGAGTAGAGTTACGATGTTGGTTTTCGTCCTCGAGTAATTCTGGAATTTCTATTTCGTAAGACCAGGGCCACGCTCGTCTAGAGAGTCTGCCCTCGTCTTACATAACGGCAAGGACAGACACTCAGTCGCGTGCGACCTTAGACTGACCCCAAGCGGAGGCCAGACTTTGTCCTCAGTTTGAGGACAGACTCTGCCCTTTAGCTCGAGGTCGGGTTGTATCCTTGCTGGAAGGTTGTCCGGCTAGAAAACAGTATAAATATAACTTCCTTTATAAAGCCAGGGAGATCTAAAATCGAGAGACAGACTTCTTCTTGAGACTTCTCCTCGGGACTCCTTTCTGCCGCTTTCCAAATCTGCTGGCGTTCTGATAATTCACTGTACATGACTGTATTTAGTGCCAGTTTAGAGAGAGCACGATTTCTACCGAGCTGTCATTATTGAAAGTAATAAACGACGAATAGAACTGAAATTCACGATCGACCTACTCCATTTCTTCTGTCGCATTTGTTTTGCATACACGTATGAGTGAAAGAGATACTGAGCGAGAACTAAGAAGAGACAATTGAGAGTTCGAGAACGAAAGCAGTCTGTATTAAACAGTTGTAATAAATTTCGTTACAATATCATCAGTCCAAGATATTGATGGACGACCTCTAACCCGTTTTCCTCCGACTGCTTCTTGCAGTATTTGCTTCTCAACACCTTCAGATCTCCTAACAATGTGCCCAAAATAGTTAAGTTTTCTTTCCATGATTTCCCTTTCTGATGGTCAAGTCTGATCTACTCTTTCCCAGGACCCACACATTTGTCTTTTTATCTTTCCATGACACCTGCAACAGCCTCCTGTAGCACCACATTTCAAAGGCACCAATTCTATTTCTGTCATTCATTGTCATGGCCCAGGACTCACTTCCGTAAGTCGCAATAGAGAAAGAAGTTGCTGCGTTCGAATGCGTTCTCTTCATTATTTTGCCTGCAAAGTCACAAATGTTAAAAATGTTGCTTCGCTCCCTCGCAATTGAAAATCCGTATAGACTTACTGGCCCGAATTCACAACAGTGGTACAAAGAGATTTTGTACCATGGGTGTGTTTTTATGTTATATTCTGTGTATATACCTTCCTCACCCCCCCCCCCCCCCGCCTCTTAGCTGTTACATAATATGGATTGTCAAGGGAAAGTTTATTTAGGTAGATTTTATATAATTTAAGTTGCAAACATTTTTCTCTGGTGGTGATTAGTATTTTTTTAAATAAGCATCCCTTCACTACAATGTAATTGGAATTGATATACACATATATGTGTATACATAATACATACCGTTGATAATTATGTAATACACCATAGTGCAGTGACATTGCCCTTCGGTTGGTGTATCGAAAGTACTTGCGCCCATTTGTTTCAACACAAAGAAAGATTAAAACTTTCAAATGTTCGAAAATGTATGACTCAGGAGAGCCCTTTCTCTTTAGAGGACATACATTAATATACTACCCATAATATATTTTGAGAAGTGCCCCTAGGGAGAGGGCAATTAGGAGAAAAACAGAAGCTAATGAAGATAGCGACTACGTCACAATCCACTGACCTTAGTGATCGATCCCACATTTCAAACATTTATAGTTTTTGGATTATTAGACCTATTTATTTGAAACTGTTACCATTCTTTTTATCGGGTTTTCTGCTTGCATACAAATGAACTTTTAACAAGGGTTTGGATGACCCTTTAAGGACCGTCTACACTAGTTTGGCCAGGGGGTTACACCTCCCTGCAATGTCACTGACAGGTGGTTATCTCATCAAATCAGCTCTAAATTAACATAAGAAAAAGCGGATCATGGGGGACCAACAGGCACCGATTAGGCATTGTTTGCTATATAGAGGGCGCAAGTAGCGATAAGTATAGTGCAGTGGGGTATTAAAGACTATGTTTTCGTACTGTATACTTTCGTCTGCAGTCTATATGTCGAGCCAACTCATCAGGGGATGTAAATCTACGGAGGACATAATTATGTATGATCGAATCTCTTTGATAAGTATTGCAGTTTGGCTTTAAGATGTGCCTTTCCGCATGGTGAATATAGCCCGGTTATCCAACCTATCACGGTCTCCTGATTGCGGGATATCGCAGGAGACAGACAGCCCATGAAACGACAGCGTCGGGCTTGCATGGGAACCCTTGGGAAAGATGTAAAACGGCCCTTGAGACCGACATTGTCGATGAAATGGGCGGCAGGTTGTTGGTTTATTCCAAATGTGATTAAATATTTTATCGGCTTTTAACACATCTGTAACTCTCTCTCAATCTCTCTCTCTCACTCTCTCTCTCTCTCTCTTTCTTCTATCTCTCTGTCTCTGTCTCACCATTTCTCGCTATATGCTCTCTTTCAAAACTAAAGCATGTCAGGTGGTTTTGTTAAGCTGGTAGAAGAACCTTTTATTCTGTAAAAGAAAATTTGTAATCCTACGTCAAGTAAGAAAGGTAAAAGGATACAAACAGAGTAAAGATCTAAACAGAAATATGTTTGTTGCAGTAGTGAATAATTTTTCAGTAGTGAATAATTTTACTAAGACAAGACATTTAAAAGATTGAACAGTTCTGTGGATTGATATTAATATTTTTAGATAAAAATGTCTAAATTGGAATATTAGATTGAGAACTAAAGACGTGCGTATGTAAATAAACAAGGAAATACATGCGCACAACATCTTACCCATAAACCGTGTTTAATTACAGGGAAGGGGACTTCTGGATGGGTAAGGTAAAATAACAACGTGATATCTTGCATACTTTTTATTTCTGTACATTCGAAAAACGTTAAGTAGAATTAACCAATCATATTGGGTCCCACATTAAACAAAATCATTCTTATGATTTTCAATACAAAGTTACTGTGGTTTTTATTCATGTGTAATATGAAATCAACTTTTCCTTTTAATTTGGAGATGAATTCTTTAGCGATGCAATCACATAGGCCTACTCAAATTTTCTTCATACTTCAAGTTAAAAACGTTTCATACGGTTCTACTGTCCATTTTGAAAAGGATTGCCATGGCGTATATAATATATAATCATTATAAGGTCGACACAAAAAACAGAGGTAACTTTAAATTTGTACTGAGTATATCATATCGGAAAATCTCCGAAACGGTTTTCTATCTTTTAATTGAACTTGAAATGTATGATATAACAAATCCCATAAAGTGAAAGACAAGCATGTAAGTAAAAAATGAAAATGAAAATTCAAATGTATACATTGTAAAATAATAAACATCATAACGGTAGCTGTCATAACAAATTTCCCTTTAATACCATACATTTGTAAAGTAAGTACGATATAATAAACGTAAAATGATAAAATATGAAACTTTGCATCTCTGAATTCTAGAAGAAGCTTAACGTAAAGTAAGTACAGAATCTTACGAGATGAATCATTGACTCGTTACAAATTTATGATATAAGTAACTTTCTGGGTATGCGAATATCAAACCACTTTTTCACACATGAATAAAAATACAGTAATGTCAATCATTCATATTGTACATATCTCTTGATTAATACGAAAAAGACGGCGGATGCCGAACAAAAAACAAAAGAAAACTCAAACTAAAAGAGTGGTGAAGCATGGCCCAGGCATTTGGGGGCACTTGTCATCGGGGGGAGGGGGGGGGGGGGGCGACACCGGTCTTACTACAGGGATGAAATATGAAGGACCATGTGTAGTGTGGATGTCAGTACTTTCTTCGCCTTTTTACGGTTCCTGGAAGCTGCCCCATCTCCCTTTCTGCTGCTCCCCCCCACTTAGCTACGCAAAGAAAAATCAACATCAGCCAATTGATCTTGAAAGATGTATGTACAGAAATACAGAAAAATATCAAAATTTAAAGTTTACCCGCCCCGCTTTTTTTTTTGCATTTGAGTTCAATCTTTCGCATGGTACGATAGACCTACACCAAATCAATAGGTTTAGAAAATCTTTAACCTTTATCATTTGCTTTTCAATATCTGCAGCATAATGACAACAACATCATCTTCAACAACATGAATAAAAAAAAACTTTAAAAAAATGATTGTAACAAAAATATGATGATGATGATGCTGATGATGCTGATGATGAGGATGATGAGGATGATGACGATGATGATGACGACGATGATGATGATGATGAGGATGACGATGCTGATGATGCTGATGATAAGGATGACGATGATGATGATGAGGATGATGAGGATGATGATGCTGATGATGAGGATGACGATGATGTTGATAATATTAAAATTTTATTCAGATGTATCTATGTAACCATTTAGAAACATGACATAGGTCACTTGGCATACTAAAATTTAAATTGATACATTTGATTAAAATTTGAAAATTCATTTGAATTTGAAAGAATGAATATCCTTTAATGTTACTGTGTTTGGCATCTTATCGAAAATATATTTTGAATACAATTTTCTAGAACCAATTTACCTTTTTCTAGGTAATTTTTCACGTCATCTATAAGACACATAAAGTATTAAACTTTCTTCCGATTCTTCAGAAATAGGGACCGACTGAGCATCCTTTTTTACGCTAGATCATTGTGTACTATATTTTATTTAATTTTTATTTATTTATCAACTTATTAATTAATTTGTTTATTTATAAATTTGTTCACTTATTTGTTGATTTACTCATCTTTTTATTCATCCATTCATTTATCCACCATCCATTAATTAATTTGTTAATTAATTCAATTAATAGGTATGTATTCATTTATTTTATCATTTATTTATTTATCATTATATGTATGTATTCAGTTTTGAGGGTTTGTGAAGTAAGGGGGAGGCGCTCCAGGTTGCCCTGGATATGCTGCCGCACCAGAAGGTCCATTCATCGCGTCCAAGGAAGTCTCGTATTCAGACTCGAGTTGCTTCTTATCACCATTGCCCGGCATATCACCTGCCTGACCAGGATGGTAGGGGACTGTCTGGTTAACAGAGCTGGTGGCATGATTGCCCGGCATAGCAACTGCTTGAGCAGGATAGTAGGGGACTGTCTGGTTTACAGAGCTGGTGGCATGATTGCCCGGCATAGCACCTGCCTGAGCAGGCATTGTGACTACGCCAGGCTGGGCTCCTGCAGTGTAAACAGCAGTCATAGATAGGGCGGCAGACCGAACGGGGGTGGCGACAGAAGGTCTTTGTGGTTTGCGTTTCGTCCTGTTCATAGAAAACAAATCAATGAGTCTTTAATTAGTCCCCTCATATCACATTTACCACAATATTGATTTTCATCTAATTCCGTAAATACTTTGCATTTTTTTTAATACATTCTGTCCTCACTTGTAGTTTTTTTTGCTAGATACAGGGGTATGTCCCTGAGTGAAAGTTAATGTAAGTATAAACCAACGATTATTTATGACATTAAATACACTTCCCAACAATTCCCTACATTTATCATGCAGCTTTGGAACAAATATAATAGAACCGCCGAAAAAATCTGACTTTTACAAGAAACACAATACTTCAAGATTTCACGATTTCAAATTTATTCATGTTTCCAACAAAACATTACAAATCAATTATAAGCATTTAAAACAAACTTAAGAAATTCATGTTGGAAAGAATAATAACTTTCGAAAGACGGTGTAGTTTTTGCATGACGTTTTCTGCTAATAATCTCCATTATATAGATATTGCAATGTCTGTTTAAAGGTACTATGTCCCATTTGCAGGCCAAACAAATGAAAAGGTTAAATTCCAACGGCATTTGAAAGATAATACTAATTTAGAACTTCCCTAAAAAAGGTGGGGCTTAAAAATGTCTTCACGTGGGAAAATAACGATTAGTTGTCAAATAGACTTAGGAGCTATAGAGCCAATAAGTAATAGTCTTGATTTTCAGACCATTGTACCGAATGGTCATACGTTTTATGCTGCGCAAAGATTGAATCAGTTTAATTTTGGCCATCACAAGAAGTGGGTTATTGATGTAGGCAAATGCTTATGTAGCCTTTACAGCTCATTTTATGTATGTCATTACCAAAGAAGAAAAAAAAGCCAGTCACTCACTCAAAAGTGTCTGACAGTGCAGTCTAGCAAGTAAACGGGTTTCCTTGCATAATTAGGACGCTGCTAACGTTCAAATTTCACAGATAGGACATTCATGACATATTCATAATTCCTGCAAAAGTTCTACAGAACTTGAGGTTGGCTGCAAAAGGGACATAGTACCTTTAACACAGAAAAAAAGGTCCGATAATTACCAGTAGACACATGCACACATACACAACAGCAGCACTAAGAGCGATACTCCACCGCCGATTCCTGCGTATATTGCTATAGGTTGATCTGAAACAAGAACAGAAACAATCGAACAGATCGAGCATGCGATCTCTATTTACTGGGTGAAGTGGGTGTAACCCCAAAATGTGTTTAAACTTCATATTGTCATCAAGTTTATCCAGAACAATACGTTTTCACGACACAAATCAACTTTTCCTAAGCATAGCAGTAGCACTTTCTGCTGCTTAGTTGCCACACCTGTATCAGGTAACAAATGCTGGTTTCATAACCTCAAATACTATACCTAATGTGCCTGAAATTGGCAGGAAAGAGGTTTCAGGAACTTTTCTTATTTGTTAAGATGCTGAAAAAAGAAAAAGCAACAACATTCCACGCCTATTTAAGCTATTAATAAAAGACAAAAAAAAAATTAATGATATTCTCCGCATTTCATTAATTTCAACGTGTTTATTAAAGAAGGTTTAAACAAATTGTTTTCCAAAAAAAGAGCAGTCTCGTAGATTTTCTTTATTTCTCAATGTGGCCGACTTACGCCCCCAACGTCAGGGTTCAAATTCCTGCCAAGTCATAAATGTGGCAAGACATTATTTTACGATTGCTTTTCTTCACCCAGGAGAAGCAAACAAGGTACTTAGTAGGAACAAGTTCATTGAAATTAATGCCTGACGTCTTAAATCCAGATAGTAGCCAGACGATGAGGCAGGGGTATTAACACGATTGCAGGGCACTCCAGAAGAGCAGTATTACTACTGATTAGGATACTCTTGGTAAGCAGGACCATAGTCTTATATCATGATCTTCTCTTTCTCTTTTGTCGTTATCTTGTTCTGCTTGTTCTTGTTTTTCTTCCTCTTCTTCTGCTTCTTCTATTTCGTCCTTCTCCTCTTCTTCTGCTTCTCCTTTTTCTTCTTCTACTTCTTTCTTTTTGTATTGTTATAATGATGCTGATTATTATTATCATTATTATTATTATGGTTATTATTATTATTGTTATCAGTATCACAATGATCATCATTATTGATAGTGTTGTTGATGTGACCATTATCTTTTTAAAGAGCTAAGGAATACCTGAAGACTGATCGGAGCAGTCAATTGGCTCTTCGTCCCAGTTTCCTGTAAACGCGTTACAAATCCACTCAGCTTGGTCATTGCCATTGTCACACGTAACGGTCACAGTGGTACTAGCCGTGTAGCTATCGCTGGGGTTGACGAAAGACGCCATCAGCGGGGGGTTTGGGAGAGTACATGTGACTCCTACAAGTAAAAACAAAATAAAATCAACAATACCAACAACACAAACCCACAAAAAGAAGAACAACGACACACAAACAGAAATTTGGGCAATTTAAATTGCGTAAAACGACAGCTGAAAAATGCACAATATTATTTTCCATTTTTTAAATATTTTGTGCCTTAACGATAATGTATTTTGTCCAACAATCTATGGGGAAATCTAAGGTTCGTTTTCCATGTGTTACCGAATCATTGAAGAATAGTATACTTTAAAAATTTTGATAGAATTTAGAGCTTGAATTAGATGAAATGTCAAGTTCTATGAGTATGACACTTTAATATCTACTATTCCTTGATAAGCAACCAGGGAGGCAGGGGCTATCCCTGTGGAACCTGTATAGTTAACGAGGAACATTCATTGTCTTCTAAAAAGGACCATCTCTCGGTTGGCTCTAGGCTCTCCTGAATATGGTCTTTTAGATTTGCTCGTCGACATAGTGGACTGCTACGTGTGACGTCCTTTTAAGGCAATGGCAGTGCCGTAAAAGGACATCACAGTGCCTTAAAAGAACGTTACACGTAGCAGTCCACTATGTCGACGTGCAAATCTAAAAGTCCCTATTGTCTCTCGAACGTCTATCGATTGTCACACAGAGCAAACGGGGCTGAAATCCGTGCAAGTGTCAGGGTAGCTTAACTCTAATGAAGGTAGGTTGTTCATAGTTTAGCCAAATTGTAAATATGTAAACACAGCATTTACTTACGTGTAAGGCAGTTCACGCCTTTCCAACCCGCTATACAAATGCACTCGGGAGTGTTATACGCAACGAGCTGACATCGACTGTTACCGGGGCAAGACTCGTTAACTGGGCACGTTAAGTCTGAAATTGAATCAATTAAAATAATTTCATGCGAGCAGCGTTATTAAAATATTAAAGGGAGTGCGATTTAGAGAAAACAGACAGCGTCCTTGTTTAAGGCTCTTCAGGTAAACAATTCCGCTTTCCGCAAAGGCTCAGATCAATTACAGTTCAGATTTTCCAATCGAAGAACAAATATATTCAACTTAGATTGCTCAATATTATTAACTGATTTTCTATTGCCACACTTTTATCTATATTAAGCTGTGACCTTGGTCTCAAGGTGAACAAGTTATTATCAAAATGAAGTGCAACCTCAACATTGACATAGCTAGCGACAGACTAAAACAGGTGGAAGATTTCGTATAACCGAGGGAACAATAGCAGAAAACGGCTCAAGTTCAAGTGACATTAACAATCGAATCAGGAAAGCAGGGGCAGCTTTCCAGAGACTAAATAACATCTGGACATCAAAAAAATATTTGGTAGCCACACAAAGACGCAACTGTATCAAACACTTATCCTCTCAATACTGCTTCATGGGCACAATCCTGGACAGAAAGAAAAGAAGATAACAAAAGGCTTCAGGTGTTTGAAATGGCATGCCTCCGTTGCATAACGGGGGTGCCAAGGATAGACAAGATCCGAAACACACACATCAATATTTTGGCCACGTCCTAAGAATGAAACCCACAAGATACCCCAAAATTGCTGTTGAAGGAAACATCACAGGAAATCGACCAAGAGGCCGTCTACCGAAAAGATGGCTTGACTGCATCTCAGAGGACTGCACAGCAAGATCCATAACAAGGCTGACACATGCATCAAGACTGGCTGCAGACAGAAATACCTGGCATATCATCACCATACGAAAGCCATCACGAGGTCTCCTTCCGACATGGACGGCATAAGTCTAGTACGTCAATCTATTATAATTTTTATTATTATCATTATTATTATTATCATTATTATCATCATTATTAGGAGTAGTAGTAATGGTATTAGTAGTACATGTAGTAGAAGTAGTAGTGGTAGTAGTAGTAGTAGTAGTAGTAGTAGTAGTAGTAGCATGATTAATATCCTATTATTTATCATTACTGTTCCTGTTTAAAATTCTTGAATGAAAAACAAAGACAACATAGTTTTACTTCAGTTCCTGAATATAATGATAAATAAATAATCAAAATAATCTAACTTGTACTCATTATAACTCTGATCAAAGTTTTCTTCTTAGATCTTTGATTTCTTCTTACCGGCATAAATCTTGACATGGGTAGGCGCTCCTGCTGAAAATCCAGTAATATCCCTGATTTCCTCAACTCCAAGGTCTGCCTCATGGAGACCTCTAGATGCGAAGTCTGTGAAGTAGATGGAGGTGAAATAGAGAGAGATGCCAAAGACCACTAAATTACCACTCTCAGCGTAAACGTGATCTCTCCGATCAGATAGATCATCAAGATCAATCGACTCGATCACATCATAGTAGCTCTCCGTCCAGTAAATGCGCTGTTCTGCAGAAGACGAATTGAAGAAAAATAGTCTGGGAGTTAATCAATAATGAGGAGCGACTTCATCACTGATGATAATAAAAACCGTCCCTCCTCCCCCCATGTTGTTAAGTACTCCCAAAGTGTCCCTTTTTATATCTAATAAGTGCCCCTTCTCATAAGTGCCCCCTTTTTTTTTTACCGCTGATAAGTTTGCCTATTCAAATCAAATAGTTGCCGCTTCTACTTTGACAAATGCCATTTCCCCTTCTAATGACTACCCCTTTTCATCTGCAATGAGCGCCCATTCTAGGTAGGAGAGGTGTCCCTTTTTAATTCTGATAACAACCCCTTTTACTTTGACACGTTTCCATTTTCCTTCCTAATAAATACCTTTCCTCCCCTTCTTTAATTGACCATTTTTCCTTTCTAATAAGTGCCCCTTTCAAATACGATAAAATCCCCTTGTTACTTTTGATAAGTGTCCCTTTTCCTTTCTATATAACTGCACTTAGGAAAGTGTCTGCTTTCTCCCATTTCTATTACCATAATGAAAGGCAGTAGCGGGGAGGGGGTCATGGGGTATGATGCCCCAAATTTCAACGAACTGTTTTAGGCTTCTAGCTCTTGTAGAATACAATCGCGGTCGTTTTCAACGCTATCAAATGTCCCTTCTCTAGATTAGTCATTTTAATTAGAAAATTGTGCCCCTTTTACACTAATCGTTTGCCCCTTTAAACTATCATGACATATTCTACTCAACTGCTAAAAGAGGCTTCTCTCAATCTCTCATCTTTCATACGGCATGCCCTTTTTGCACTTCATGACATACCAACCTAATCAATTGCATTTTGTTCAAGAATTTAAAAGTTAAAACAATGAATGTAACTTCACTTTCAATACCAAATGCCACTCATGTTTAAAAAGTGGCATTATTTCCGTACATGCTATAACAAGATGTTTTCATCTCCCTCCATCTCCCTCGAAACAACGGATTGCTCATTGCCTCCTTAACATATGCGCCTAATTTAAAGCGGCTGAGAGGAATTTTTTCTCGAGTTTTTACGCTCGCTTGAATTTATAGTTTTTGACTTTTTTGACGATCATGTGTTACACTTTTGAACATGAAGTGGTACCACCGGGGATATTTCTTGTACCTTGGGAATCAAGCGCCAGGCCCCTAGGTTCTCTCAAGCGTGTTGTAATCAACTCTCTTCTGTCCGATCCGTCTTTATTTGACATCTCAATCTTTCCAGTTGATATACCTTCGTCAGTCCAGTACAATTTCCTTTTACCATGAGAACAAGGTATAAAAAAACATGAGTATGCACGTATCTGAAAATTGTTTATATACATGTATAGTTATAAGAAAGGATTCATATCAGAGATAATTGACTTTGGAGTTGAATCCACTCCAAAAGCAGTGGTTGAATAATTCCTTGTCGATTGGATTCTATTTAGAGAGCATAGTATATACTGTTTTTATTTTCTCCAAATGTGTAATACAAAGAATAACATACAATGGAATAAAATAAACGTGAGTGATTAAAATCAATTTGAAGAGAGGGAACCAAAAAGTCATTTGGCGGCTGGACGGTATCTGAATTTCAAAGAGAAAATCACATTTCCAGAAAGTTCAGTTTCTACCCATTCATATGACACCTCAATCAGGAAAATGAACAAGGAATAACAAAGTTCTGTTTATTCAAATTGATGCTTGTATTTCCGTAATTTGATTTAAACAAATTATTTTTCACTGGGTGCCTGCCGTAGCAACAAGCAGCATTGACAAAAGACTTAACTCCGTTTCTTTGACAATCAATCACGCATGAAGTCTTTCGTCTATGGCTGATCGTCAACGACAAGGAGCCAATTCCGTTTGTTGCTACGGCAGGCAGCCAGTGAAAACAAATTTTTTTAAATTAAATTGTGGAAATGCAAACATCACTTTGAACAAACAGGACTTTTGTATTCTTTGCTCATTTTTCCTGATTGAGGTGTCATATGAAAGGGCTGAAACTGAACTTTCTGCAAATGTGATTTTCTCTTTGAAATTCAGATACCGTCCGCCAAATGACTTTTTCCCTCTCTTCAAATTGATTTTAATCACTAATGCGTCAGATATGTATCATATGAATTGCATCCGATGAAAGAGGAGGATCTAGGTTTTACAGAAATGTGTCATTTATTAATTATAGTTGTGAATAAGTTATGATAAAACATCGCTAATTGTCGGTTTCGTTTTTTCTGGGAGGCACTGTATATTCGGCATTTCAGAAAAAAAAGTTCATACAACAGATAAAATAATAACAAAGGGTTAACCAAAACAGACTGATCATGATACAAAACAGGTGTAGAGATGATGACAAGGCAGACGGGGCTGACTGGGACAAGAAAAGGTGAACTTTATGACCATGACCCTTAGGTTTTCTGTCCCTTACTACATTATATATATATATATATGTATATATTTGTATACATACATATATATACATTATATATACATATATGTTGTATTAACATGACATCTATATAAAACCCTAAACGGTACATTAACAGGACATCATAAAAATTGGTATATTTCCCTAACCCTAATCCTAACCCTAACCCTTACCCTAAATTCAAAACAATATGACTAATAAAACTAATGACTAATGATTAAACCTAATGTTTCCTGGGAGGCCTTTAAGTTTCCTCGGCTTGCAATCGTACGTAGGGGCAGTAATTCTATTGTTCAATCTTTAACAGGACATGAACATATATATATATATATATATATATACGGTGTCGCAATGTGTGTGTTTGGTTTGTGAGTGTGTGTGTGTGTGTGAGCGCGCGCGCGTGTGTGTGTGCGTGTGCGTGTGTGCGTGCGTGTTTGTGCGTGCGTGTGCGTAGGTGTGTGTGTGTGTGTGACAGAGACAGAGGAGAGAAAGAGAGATGACACGTTTTTCATTTACACTCACCCTCTTTTTTGAGACAATGTGATTGCCCATGGGCGATAAAGACCCGTACTGATAATGGTTCGTCGGTTAGACCCGAGTACGCTAGCACTCACTATTTGTTCCAACAGAGTATCAGTCCAAAACATCCTGTTCGCCATTAAATCTAGGACTATTCCTTGCGGGTCTGAGTGGATAAATTAGAATGATTAACAAGAGGTACATTTACAGAGATGAAGAAAAGAATCTTTGTGCTAGACTGTAATTGATCAAAATGATATCATTAAATGGGCCGGATAAAATATGGTTGATCTTGGTGTTGCAGCACAATGATGCACAAACCCCAGGGTGGATAGCACGATGACTGACGATACGAAAACGTCACTGTCTATATTTCATTTGCACCATATTAAGTATGAAAATTAGGATGCCATTACTCTGATTGATAGAACAAATCTAAATGATTTTTGAAATGGCATATATATCATTGGAGAAAAAGCCTAAAGACATGAAAAAAATATACAAAAATAATAAAAACAAAACAAAAATAGAGCTAGAATGGATAAACCTTATTTAATACATGATTAGATAAACAATAAATGAAGAAATATTTAACAAATCAACGAACAAATATAATGAATAAATATATGGATATATACATAAATAGTCAAATAAATACATGAACGAATGAATATATATTATATCTAAGCCACACTCACATCCAATGCCTTCAATCAAGATTTCCTGGTTCGAACCATCAAGTGAAGCTCGGTTGATTGTCCTCGCATCCTCATCACTCCAGTAAATCTTGTCGGTCCGGTAATCGTAGTCAATACCTGTAGGAGCTTCAACCCCGCTCAGTGGGATTTCGCGGATGTCCTCGCCGTGGAAGTCGAAGCCACTGTTCTCGCCCACAAAGATCTTGCTATCGGGCAGGTCCGTTATAAAGATTTTGTCAGCTGAGTGGAGAATATGAGTGATAACAACAACAACAAGAACAGTTATAATAATGATAGAAACAATAATTATAATGATGATGATGATTAAACTAATAATAATGATAATATTCAGAAGAATGATAATATTAATATTAATAATACTGATATGATCATGTGGATGATAATGTGAATAGTAATAACAACAACATTAAAAATGACAATGATCATCAACCTAAAGATAATGATGGTGCATGTAATGATAATGTTACACTTTTACAAAGCGCATTTATGTGACTTTAATGGCAAATTTTATTCATTCGTACGAGCTTTCCAACATTAACAAAATACTGATATATATAATGGGAGAGAGACAATATCATGAGAAGTTGGTATTAAAGACAAACTCCAGTTCTGGTAAAAAAAAAAAAAATTAATTCTTACAGAATCAAACGAAACTTACACTGAATGTTCAAGATTACAAATAAATGACATGTGCCAAACAATTTTGGAAGAAAATGTATACTGGCTGAGTAATGAACATAGAAAGACAAGGAAATCAAGATAGTACTAGCCCCGACCCCATGTGTGTTGTCCCATATATAGCTTTCTGTGTACAGTGCTTATTACTTTACCAAGACTCGGTCAAATTTATTATGATTTTGATGACTCCAGAACCTTGCAGTGCACACCAATACTTACATGCTACATGATCAACTGTTTCTGATCCTTTCCACACCTTTCCTTTCAAAATGCAATCGCATTACCAGTACTAAAGTTTATCTTCAAGATGGTAGACAAAAATAACTGATCCAGAGGCCATAAGGGGAATACAGAACAACGAAGTGCAAACATAAGGATACGTGAGAGAGAGAGAGAGAGAGAGAGTGCGAGCAAGAGAGAGAAGGAGAGAGAGAGAGAGAGAGAGAGAGGGCGCTCTCCAGCAGCAGTGAGCTTTTAATTTTGTCAGCTCTTTACATTTTGTTTTAGCTTACTTTTCATTACTTACTACTTTATTTTTGTTTGTATTGTTAACCTTTATTCAGTGATGATAAAGTTATTTGATATTTTAACCTTTGTAACTCATAATGTATTCTTTATTGCCATTTTATTATGTATACTTGATTTAAATTGTATGTTGTATTCAAGTTGTTTTTTTTTCATGCATAGAACATTTGAATGTGATATGATTATATTCTTTACTATTGTTATAGATCTAATAAAAAAAATATTAATGTGCCATTACAAAAATCATATTGGGTGTCACCAAGTTGCCTAAAATGTTTTTTTTTAAATGTCGTAATCGTGTCTTTGTGTTTACATTTCCATTGGACTGATACGACATCTTTTAAAAACATTTTAGGCAACTTGGTGACACGTCCCATTATGATTTTTTTTTTCTTTTTTTGGGTGGGGCTACATCTAGATATATTATGGCTATGGTCTAGGTTAGGATAAGGTTTCAACTGACTGACTATTCATATGGGATAACAGATATTTGAGAAAAAAGAGATTTATTTCCTCTTTCATATCGAGCATTGACAATTGTTTTTCTTCAAAGGCCATTGGCCACTATTACCCTGGTTTTAGCTCCAGCTAAATTATCTTCGGTAGCGTTCAGTGCTTTCAAGGAATAAATCCTACTAGATACCCATTAGAACAAAACAGCATGACACATTGTGTGAATTGTGTGAACATTCTTGGATTCAGACGATAGGTATTGCACCTGATTGTGGACTAATCTTTGTTATTTGCTTGTTAGATATCACAAACATTTGGAGCATATCCAGTCTAATGATAATTATGATATTCCGCTTATATATCGCTTAATACAATGTCTCTAAGCGCTTTTAATAACAGATAACTATTACCCCCGGGCCGGTCAATGGATTCAGTGCATGCCCGCACACACTGTGTACACAATCCCCACTCCAGCTCCCTGGGCCCTGGGCAGTATTCTCGCCAGGCGTTACATGACGCTCATAAAGGCCCGAATTTACAAAGGAGGTTTGTCGACAAATCGAGGTTTATGTACGTCATATGACGCGTTTTGACGCGTTTTTTACAAACCTGGTTTGTAAATAACAAAAGGAGGTTTGTCGAAACAGAGGTTTGACCGACAAACCTCCTTTGTGAATTCGGGCCAAAATGTTTGACCAACAATGACGGTCGCATCCTACCAGGTACCCATTTAACACCCGGGGGGGGGGGGGGGGGAGTAGCAAGTGTAGGTTAATATCTTGCCAAAGGATATAAGTGCCATGTCGGAATTCGAAACACTGAGATACAAGTCTTTTTGTGTGACATCTTCCCCCCGGTGCACCACACGGACTTTGGTCTCGTTTACTTATTTTCTACAGGTTCCTATGGGTGCCCTTTCTTTCCTTTTCCAAAAGTTTATTCACTTGTGTAAGTTCATACTCATGGGGTCTTTAGATTACAAATATTGGAAGATTGTGAGGTATATACTGTAATACCTGAAAAGGGGAATAATAATAATAATAATAATAGTGGAGTCTTGTAGAGCTAGCGCTCATGTTTGGCACATTGCCACTCCTGGCGCTCCAAATATGCAAGTATGCTGTATGGATACATTATGAACAGGGGCGTACGCAGGATATTTTCAAGGGGGGGGGGGGGGGTTTAAAATATTTTGCTCCCGAAAATTTGAAAATCGCGCCGGCCGAAAAGTCGCTCAGTGGGGGGGGGGGGGGGGGGGGGGGGGGGGGGGGGGGGGGGGGGGGGGGGGGGGGGGGGGGGGGGGGGGGGGTAAGCGGACACTTTTTTTTTTTTTTGGTCTCAAAATTTCAAAATTTGACATTTTTTTTCGTTGGGGGGGGGGGGGTGAGGTCACCTTATTTAGGTTAGCCGTGGGTATAATTTTCTTTTTCTTTTTTTTTTTTAATAAAAAAAAAAAAAAAAAAAAAAGCCAAAGGGGGGGTTTTTAGGTTCTTTTAGGGGGGTTTACATACATTAAAATACCAAAGGGGGGGGGGGGGTTTGAACCCCCAAACCCCCCCCCCCCCCTTCTATCTCGGGGTATCATATTTTCTCTTTAGATTCCGGTCTATTTATACATTCATAAATTGATTTGTCGTTTTATTTCCATCCATCCATAACATATCAACGGATTAGAAAACGAACGTAGTGTAAGCACATATAAACAATGTACATATGAAACAAACAAAAACGTTAAGTTTGGAAAAGAAAACAAATACACTGTTTGTGGTTCCCTTCTATGCGGAAATAGAAATGAATCAGTGCATTTTGCCATATGTCTAGAGACACAGCACACATCATTATGACAAAAGGGGAATAATAATAATAATAATAATAGTGGAGTCTTGTAGAGCTAGCGCTCATGTTTGGCACATTGCCACTCCTGGCGCTCCAAATATGCAAGTATGCTGTATGGATACATTATGAACAGGGGCGTACGCAGGATATTTTCAAGGGGGGGGGGGGTTTTAAAATATTTTGCTCCCGAAAATTTGAAAATCGCGCCGGCCGAAAAGTCGCTCAGTGGGGGGGGGGGGGGGGGGGGGGGGGGGGGGGGGGGGGGGGTAAGCGGACATTTTTTTTTTTTTTTGGTCTCAAAATTTCAAAATTTGACATTTTTTTCGTTGGGGGGGGGGGGGTGAGGTCACCTTATTTAGGTTAGCCGTGGGTATAATTTTTTTTCTTTTTTTTTTTTAATAAAAAAAAAAAAAAAAAAAAAAAAAGCCAAAAGGGGGTTTTTAGGTTCTTTTAGGGGGGTTTACATACATTAAAATACCAAAGGGGGGGGGGGGGTTTGAACCCCAAACCCCCCCCCTGCGTACGACCCTGATTATGAACATGTTATGGTGGTTTTGATTACAGCAATAATAATAATAAGTGTCTGTTTCGAACCAAAACTTGCATAATAGAAAACGGGAAATAGTAAACAAATGAAAATAGTCAATATTATATGCTTATTGGTATCCATGCTTTACATGCCTAAATGCTTGTAATATCTTGCTCTATTAGTTTGATAGGTTTTAACCCCAAGGTCAAAGTTGTTTACCTGAAAAAACCAGGTATTATTTCTGATTGTGCGGGAAGTACTTTCTAAAGAAAAATTGTGTGCACTGTATATTTGTCCATATCATTGTGGTTGGATAATACAAATAGAGCATTGTTCCGAGTCATCACAATTCAAATACAACTCTGGGTTACTCACTAGCGCAGTCATATGCATGTTGCCCGTAAAGGCGGAAGCGTTTTACTTTACCTATTTTTATGAAATGATTGTGACGATTTTATTTAATCTTAATAGATGCGTTTATACCTTCTCAAAACATTACTGCTCAATCTAAAGAGTAAAAGAGATTGATCAATAAAGTTTTGAGAAGATAATAAACTTATCTATTTATTAAACCATATTATCTTGCGGAAAATCAGAGTCATTTCATAAAAAAGAGTTAAAGAAGATTATTGTAATTTTATGGACAATATTGTGTTTTATCATTATTTAAGATTGCGTCAAGCACATCTTAAAAATACAGTATATCCTAATTAGAGAATGAATAAGGAAAAATTATGTGTAATTCTTGATCAAAACAGAAAGATGAGTTGGTATTGTTCTTGCAATAATGATATACTCTTGGTCTCCTCAAGGTAATCTTCTATCTCGGGGTATCATATTTTCTCTTTAGATTCCGGTCTATTTATACATTCATAAATTGATTTGTCGTTTTATTTCCATCCATCCATAACATATCAACGGATTAGAAAACGAACGTAGTGTAAGCACATATAAACAATGTACATATGAAACAAACAAAAACGTTAAGTTTGGAAAAGAAAACAAATACACTGTTTGTGGTTCCCTTCTATGCGGAAATAGAAATGAATCAGTGCATTTTGCCATATGTCTAGAGACACAGCACACATCATTATGACAAATGTTTCCGACTGACTGACAAGCGGACCCTGTCATACTGTGTACGATTTTCCCCGACGGTTTCAATATTGATTAATGAATGGTTAATGATTAACTGATTTTTGTAAACATGTTTTTAAAAATCATTAGGTTTCAACTGAAGACTTTGAAATAATTTTATGAATATTTAAAGAATACAGGGATTTGTTTTTTAAAAGAGTTGAATCTGTCTTTAGGAAAAATGAAATCATCACCACTGTAATTAACTTCATCTCGACAGAAAAACCAATTCAATATGGTTTTTCAACTTCCGTTTTCCAATCTAAGATTTTCACAGTAAGTTGAAGTATAACAATTGTAAAATGAAATCAATTCAAAGAAATACACGAAGAAATGTGAATTGTAATTTTGGTCAGAAAGCCCTCGGGACCGGCATCGTCGGTCTCGTGTGTCGTTGTTCTCATGAAGTTACTCGAATGCCAAAAAGATAGACATATAGACTACAACGTAATTAGTTGATGGTTCAAATCAACCCAAATATCCACAGATCTCTTAAAACATGGAAAAGTCAGACTTTGTGCATTTTAGAATAATTACTGCCAAAGTCATGGAGGTGCTTCATGAATACCCTTTAATACTTCCACATGGGTTCCAAATTATGTACAGTCGGTGCAGTAATACATATGATATAACTGTCATAAGCACGTATCCAGTATTCGTCTCAGTAGGTTTTACAATTTTGTAGAACTGACCTATAGTGCCCATGCGCAGATTGTATTTACGCAATGGCTCTTTTCCATCAGCTAATTGGTTTGTAGATGTTGAATATGTTGGTAATGATACAAATTTAATGTACCGGTAAATTGAAAACTTACTGCATTGAATGAAGAGGAAACACTGAGACACAACAGTAAACCCAAGGCAAAATACAACAAGCCGGGCCATGTTTGATGGAGAAGTACAGAGCCAGTCTAGAAGAGATGGAAAAATAATGAGACTATTATTTTTACCATATTATTTCATATGTGTCATATTGCTGTCCTGTCATCATCATTATCACCATCATCATCATCATCATCATCATCAATAATATTATTAGCAGTAGTGGTAGTAGTAGTAGTAGTAGTAGTAGTAATAGTATATACTACAAGAGGTAGTAGTATCATAGAAGTACTAGTTGTGTGGTTATTAAAAGAAAAAAGTATAACATCTATCAGGAGAATAGTGCAAAGAATATATGCAATCGAAACGTAGAATATGTACATATAGGAAGAATATTAGCAATGCGGACGTAATCATTGTGGAAATATATATATCAATACAATACGAAATGTTGGGCTTCCTTCTAATTGAAATTGAAATTGAAAACAAGTCCGAACAAGAGCATGTCATATTTTTCTAGTGAGTGCAAGCCAACTTTTGTTAACAACTATTGAAATTCACCCATGGAGCCTGAGCTATTGTCCTATTTGCGGTCTGATGAATATCAACAAGTCAGAATGAATATGGAGAGCTGAGGTAATTGTTTCGTGAGTGACTGAGCCATGAACCAGCGATAGCTTGGTGCTCACTGCCCTACAAACAGTAAATAGGGACTTTTAGATTTGCACGTCGACAGCTGTGACTGCAACGTGTGGCGTCATTTTAAGGCACTGCGCATGCGTCACGTCGTCTCAGTCATCGATCGAGAATGCGTCAACCTTGATTTCCTAAATCTAGTACGGTAATAGCTAGTATGCCGCGTGCACATAAAATATACAGTTCCTCAGGTAGACAAAGGAACATCGATCCCTTCCTTGCTATTATGTAAAAATGTGTAGAACAGGTACTGGCACATGCATATTCACATGTTCTACATATCTTTACATATAGCAGTGAAGGGATGTTCTTTTGTCCGTCATGTTCATAGTCTTACTTCCTGCATGCATGTTTATCTAAGATAAGATTTCTAATTGTAGTCAACATGGGCAGTTGAGTACGTTGACACGCATGATCAGTCGGCGTACGTCGTGTTCTCGTCCACTCAATCTAAAAGTCCCTAATGGCAGGTTCAAATGCTGCTAGCTCCAAGATTTTATCGAAATTGACAAACAATAAGGGCAAAAAAATAACATCAGTACAATGTTTAGACCTCCACACAACCACATTGAATCATGTTATGTCAGTTTAGAAACATCCTTGAATAAACTATCTCAAGAAAATAAGGAAGTATACTTAATAGGCGATTTTAATGTACACATATTGCTTTCCATACAAGACAAAAGTGTTTCAACTCTTCTTAATTTATTCTCTTTCCATGCAGTAGATCCACCAATCAATAAAACAACTAGAATAAACGCATCTTTTGCTATTTTAACCGACAATATATTCACAAATGCTTTAAACAAAAGCTGTAACATTGGCTATTATTTATTCGAAATTATCAGATCATATAACAATGATCACATTTCATTACAAAATGTTTTTTTTAAACAAGGATGTAGAAAATGTAATGCATCGAAACGTAAATTCTGTCAATATGCAACACTTAAAGGCATCGTTTAACAAAGTTAAATCTTAGAAGCTCGGCCCTGTGTGTTATCATTATCAGTGTCTGTGATATGGTGTGATATTGAAGCCCTAAAACAAAATTGCGCTTCAAAATGATCAAGAAGTGACTCCAAAAAGTAAATATCTTTGAGTGACCGGTTTTACCATACTCGTTTTCCCCAATAGTCTGTAGACTGTAGTGTTATGAAAAACCGTTAGGAAAATGCAAAAATTGGTTTCGATTTCCAATCATAAATATCTTGATAATCAGACAGGCGATTGGCTTGTAAAAATCATGGAGTTCCTGACTGACCTAAAGGTTAATAATTATCATTGCAGCAGCATGAGGTAAATCCAGGATTTTTTTTTCAGAATCTGCGACAAAGTTACCCAATCCCTTTAAAGAAAAGTGTCATAAATAATGACATATATCAAGAATAGAAATACAAATTACAAATTATATATTCGCATTCCATCGGCTCGAAACCTTGATGATTGTTTTTTTTTTTAATAACGCAATGTGTGAACCAACGTTATATGAAATTCGCGCAAAAACATTATTTACAATGTCTTTAACTAGAAAAAGTTAAAGACAATATGAAGTCAACATGGAATATAAATAATGATATTATTGGGAAGAAAACAAATCACTCAAACACCACAAAATCTTATGAAAGTGGCCGTGAAATCCTTTTTACTGCCATCCCCAACATCATTTTTGTATACAGGAAACATTTAGTTTTTATAAAGGATTACCAAGCTTAGCTTATGTGGCAATCCTTCTTTAAGATTATGGTATGTTAGTATTACAATGTAAGTATTTAACGTCGATAATGTTATAGTTATAGAATTTGTTTATTATCATGATTATATGTTGTAATTATTTTGTAACTTTGGAAAAGGACCATGGAGAAAAATAGATAAATCAAATCAAATCAAATTGAAAATAACGGTGAACAATCATAATAACAGAACAACACAAAATATTGGTATCCTCGCATGCACCCATAATACATTAGTTCTATTATTGTAAACAAAGAATATGACACGACATACGCCACTAATGTGTAAGCGGCAAATTTAATCCTTTGATTGAATATCAAATTATATAAGAACAATATGATATTACATAATATTGGATGGCTCTGAGTGTGCTACAAGAATATATTGACAATATTGAATGAGTCAGAGACGAGTCCAATATTGCCAAAGCGAGGGCAATATATTCTAGTATCACACGAAAAAAGGCATATAATATTATTATTATTATCTATATCAGGCTGACTAGCGAAAAAAAAGACTTACCTCGGTAAAAATGGCTTTTTTGAGTGTGTGTATGTTTGTGTGTGATATATATTGTTGAAGTTCCCAGATGACTGAGCAATACGAAAACAATATTGGTCAGTCATCCGGGTACTGCGCTACAGATATTGAATACACTGATTTGTTGTACCACTTGGTACCCTTATATAGATAATAATGGTTGAAATTACATTTTCTACAAATCACAATCAATTTCATCGTTTTGAAATACTTCACTCTAATAACCAAAGTTTATAAATACACCACTGCAGACTTTTAATTTAAATCCAAATGCATAGATATTATAATTAACGATGAAATTGAGCTATGGTCATGGAAAGGCGTTTTGAAAGAAATTACATGGAAGCAATAGAGAAATAGGCTGATTATTTCCTACATATAACAATTGATGCTATGAAGTTTTGGAATGGTAAAGATGAAAACAAATTGACACAGTCTTTCTGACGTCATACACACTACATACAAAAATAGGTACAAGTCAGTGCACACAAATATTTGGTGCAAACGTTTCAGCTATCGCTTGTGTAGCGGTACGGGCCCATTACACTTGTAATATTCCAATCATGGGAGCATTTTAAAGGCAACTCTTTTCAGGAGACATTCCTACCTTTGATATTTTTCCAAACTAACATGAGGAGAATAATAATAATAATAATAATAATAATAAATCACATTTATAACGCTCCTAATACATTGTTTCTAGGCGCAGTGGTGCTGTTGTCCCAGCAGCCATTAAGTGAAGCAATATCCTTACACGAAATAAAGCCGGGACGAAAGCACCACAAGTACACCACAATATTATTCAGTATGATTTATTAAGATATTTTGTTCACCTTGACCAGAGCTCAACTTTCCCTTTAAGCTTATTTTAATTCAATGATTTGCAACTGATTCGGGCAGATTTACAAAGAGGACTTACCAACTGATCCGATCTAGAGAGCAGCATGGAACCCAAATGAAGCAGGTTACACACCTGTACATACGGGTCTTGCGAAGAGAAGCGCATCGAATGCTTTAGTGGCGGATACAGGGGGGGGGGGGGGGGGGTCACAGGGGGCACGCGACCCCGGCCCCCAAAATATGTTAAAATCAGCCCTAAATTCGCCCAAAATGTACTGAAAAACAGGGGCGTGCCCCACCGGCCAAAAAAAAAAAAAAAAAAAAAAAATTCCAATGGCTGACCTAAAAAGGTGACTTACCCCCCCCCCCCCCAACGTAGCAAAATGTCAAATTCAAAAATTTCGTGACCAAAAAAAAAGAAGAAGAAGTGTCCCCCCCCCCCCCCCCCCCCCCCCCCCCCCCCCCCCGCTTATTCAGCGGCTGGCTGAGTCGTTGCGATTTTGGGGGGACTAAACAAAATTAAAATAGTGTCCTCTTACCCCCCCCCCCCCCCCCCGCTTATTGAGCGGCTGGCTGAGTCGTTGCGATTTTTTGGGGGGACTAAATATATATATATAGTTCTCTTTCCCACACGGTGCCCCCCCCCCCCGGCAAGAAATTCCTGGATCCGCCCCTGTGCTTTACCAAAAAAAGGGTTCCGCTCTGTCAAAGATGAGTCAGCATTATGAAAGGGAATGGAGTATTTTGAAGTAAAAACGGGAATGTTCCATTCAACACAAGTTCAGTATTTCAATATTTCCATACCAATAAATTGTTAGAACAGCACCCACCATAGAATTAAATCGATTTTGATCCTATTGTCTCAACACCCAAATGTGCTAAAAAACAACAAAGAGAGGGATACAGAACGCTAAAATTCGAGAAATGTGCTCTGTTTATTTTTCTTCTTTATAGTTGGTGTTGATTTTATATCAATTTTTATTTGTCCATTTGTTCTATTGTTTTCTTTCTATTTTCCAGTCTCAATGTGTGCCCCTGATAATGTTCTCCATGTCAAGAAAAATGCACCCATATGATTTACACTGTTCCTGTTTGTGTGGGCGGAGGAGCGAACAGACGAACGGCACTTTGACCAAGACTTTAATCCAAGGCTTAAATATTGTTTGAGCAAACCAATTTTCGCGACTTTGTTATTCCGAATTTAACTGATGCTCACTCAAACGTAAAATATCTAAATACTTTTAATGCCATCCAGTTGAATAAACCGAAACTGTAAAATGATTTGCACACAGGGCGTAATTTTCAATTAACAGATCGAGCATGCGATCTTAATCTACTGGGTGCAAGCTAAACAATTAATTACAACAATTTAAATATTACTTTACTAAAATTTACTAAAAGCAACAGGAAGTGACGTCATCCTGATACAAATTTACAGTGATCGATTTCAGGAAATTTCAGAAATTACAAAATAATTGTATACTTGCATGCACAAATAAGATAATAACTCCTTTATTTTAATTGGGAAATGTGACTGTGAAGACCTACGTCAAACCAATGACGCCCTTGTGTGCAACTGACAATATAGTGGTCCAGAATGTGGCCGGCTCTTCATATTATATTCTCTATTTCCCCCCTCTGTTTAGTATGTTGAAGAAATCTAGTCATCTGATTGGTCGAAATTGGATTCGTGATTTTAGCCATGCCCGCCTACCGGTCAATTTTTTTTTAAAATATGCTCACAAGCCCGCCTAACGGGCCGCATAAATAACATTTTTAGAGATCCCCATTGGTTTACGTGTAAATAGTTTCTTTGTGCGAGCACGGATACCATACAGTGCTTTTAGTCTGCGATTCCCGAATGATCGTAACATTCATGCAACTTTCCAGCGAAGATTTACATTTTCTGTGATTTGTTAACCAGTCTTTAATCAAGGAAATTCTCTGTAGATGTGTTTGTGAATTCGGTGTATAAAAGATATATCGACTACTTTAAAATTCGAAGCATAGCTGTTTCTATACTGGCTCTCGGGGACGCCCCGTGCGCCTCGGGTCATATAAGTAGGTAACGTCCCCTTGAGCCTATATAAACATCGATGCCTGTCATAGCAGTCTAGTTATTGACTCAAGCCGAAGAAGATGGCGTGATCAATGAAATCATATATCGTCGCACGGCTGGCAGAAGGGCGTTAGCGCGCGATCGACTCGAAAACTACTTTTCGAGTAATTCGCATTTAAAGATTTGTTTTATATTTAAACTGCTTTCCGTCCCGAAATTTGGTTTAAAACTTAAAAGACTAATAGAAATGTTAAAGCAGAACACGACAAGACATTTTTTCCCGGAAATAAGTCAGTTTTATAAAAGTTTGAGGCGATTTAGTGCTAACGCCCTTCTGCTTAACGCATTATTGCGCATCTTCTTTCATGCTAAAGGGCGCAAGCCGCGTAACGCCCTTCTGCTTTGAGTAAAATAGATACGCTTCGGCGCGTAAAGCTTGTAAAAGGGCGTAACGCGCATGGTGTAGCCCGGATGGAGCGTGTTGTCATTCAGACTTTCTGAAATAAAAAGCAGACGCATGCAATTGTTTGTGATGATAAAATATCAAATTTGATTTTTCGTTTGCTTTTGTTTTAGCATTAATTAATAGTATTAGGTTATGCTTTGCGGATTTCGCTTCCAATATTTACAAAAAACTCATTAAATTTATCAGCAATTTATTTTAAATCATAATGTATCACGGCAATTTATTGATTATTATGCAAGGGTAATTCTTAATGCATTAACCAAGTACATCGCTTATAGTATCCAAGGTATTTTTCATGTTTCCTTAAACCTATTTGGAATTTCAAATAGTAATAATTACTTTATGCTGATTTCCGGAATTTATTCCCATGATTTCGAACTCTATTATATTTCCTCTTATTCGTATCTCTATACAAAGAGGTCAATACATTCAAAGAGTAATAGAGTAAAAAATTAAAAAATTACACTGATCACATCACTCTGCCCCATCCTGATATTTATCTTTAATCCTTCACAGAATGCAGGAAATGCATTAATTTGTTACAGAATGCCCTTTATGTCTACAACTGTATACTGTACGTTGTGCTTCATATGTGATTTAAGTTTGATTGGATATTGTTGTCAATAATCAAAAGTATATTTGTATACTTTTTTTTTGGGGGGGGGGGCACACCAAGCACTATGTACAATTTCTTCTCAATTCTTTCTCTTTCTGTCTCTCTCTCTCTCATGCAAACAAGAACATCCCCTCACTCTCTCTCTCTATTTCTATCGATCTCTCTGTCTATCTCTCTTTTTCTTTCTCCATTAAACACATCTCATAATCGTTTGTTACCCCTCTTTTGCAGTTGCGTGTCTATCTTCTTGTCGCATTAGTCATTTCCATTCTAGTACATTACTCTCTCGGACACATTTTTCCCATGAACAAATGTAACTATATAAGAATAAACGCTAAATAGCACAAAGCAATCAAATGTTAAGATGAACACTTCTGTCATGGTAATGACTGAATTTATTTCTTTGCAATATAACTGGAATCCTTTTTGTACAGTTCATTTTACAATTCCATGTACAATCATTCAAAATTGATCAATCATAATGAATCATGATTAAATATAAAAATTGGAACTTATCTGTAGCACATGCTCATGGCAGAAAGAACAACATGGTAGCTCTCAAAAGAAAGTTTTGTATTCTGCGTTGAATCTGTTCTAGCTCTAGTGAGCTTTTGTAGCATAGTTTTAAAAACTGTGCAGTAAGTTTACAAAAGAGAAAATACTTGAACAATATATCAGCATTATCAAAGGCAAATAAACAAAATTGTATGACAATAAGTGAAACTGTAGCACATGTTCATGGCAGAAATTACAACATGGTAGCTCTTAAAATAACTTTGTGTATTCTGCAGTTAACGTACTGTGCAGTAGGTTAACATACGAGAAAATACTTGAACAATATTTCAGCATTATCAAAGGCGATATAAAAAAAAAAGTATGACAATAAGTGAAACTGTAGCACACGTTTATGGCAGAAAGTACAACATGGTAGCTCTTAAAAGAACTTTGTGTATTCTGCAGTTAACGTACTGTGCAGTAAGTTAACAAAAAAGAAAATACTTCAAAAATATTTCAGCATTATCAAAGGCGATACAAAAAAGTATGACAATAAGTGAAACTTTAGCAGCTGTTGGGATCTGCAATACGTTTCCTGGCTCTCTTATTCTGTATTAGAATAAAAAATATAAAAGTGGTGGACAAAATATTAGTTTAACATATTCATGCTTTGAACTGTACAGAGTGCAAAATTCTATAAAAGTAAAAGTACTGGTGAAGGATGAAGGAGTCAACACTGCAGCAAGTCAATGTAAATGACTGTAACCTTGCAATCTGACTGACATGCTTCTCTCCTTTTGCTTCTCCTCTCTTGCCTTGATTTAATGAACCAATACATTCACTCTCTCCCCTTACCCCACCTTTAAACCCAGCCATCATCAAGAAATAAGGGAGTGAAAGAGAGAGAGAGAGAAAGAGAGATGGGAGGAGAAAGAAGAGAATTGCAGTACGTCTGCATGGTCATTTATCCCAGAACCCCTCCATCAGAGGGAAGCAGAGCAATTATTCCATTTACTCTGTCTAAAGAGATGTACACAGCCATTTTCTGGTACAACAAAAATACATTTATCTTTTTCAAAGAAAATTCTCCACTCCCTTGGGGGAATTTGTAACAGGCAACCATTTTAAAGCTTCAGACTTTTACCTCACTTTGTTCAGGACGTTCTCCAATATCTCTGTGTAGAAGCCACTCTCTGTAAAGTACACAAGAATAAACTTTATGACATAGAAATGTAAAACCCATTTTCGAAGTAAATATTGTAGGAGAAATAAATGGTTCAAAAGTTAGCTTAAGAGGTTGTTGTTTTGATTAATGAATATTGTAGAGGTGTCTGCAACAGCATAATTGCAACAAACTGACTTATAATTCCTAAAGACAATGCCCACTGTAAACTACAAACTCAAATTGGTGACATTTGAGACATTAATATTTTTCAGTACTACCTTCACTGTCTGCTTGGATAACTTGAAACTATGTCAACTGTC